ATCATCCCCCTTTCCAGCAAAAAAGTTTAGGTAAATTTCACAAGTATCATGCAGTTCTCTATATCATTCAGCAAATTGTCTTGGCTGCTCTACTTGTAATTAAGATTCACTGATATTTGTGAGATAATGTTTTGAAAACATCATCAGATGAAGCATGTACCTATCTAGATTTCCCTATATCGTGAAAGGTCCTGGGACCAGATGGCTTCCCCCTCAACTATTATAAGAAATTTAGCACATGCTTGTTTCCCTTGCTGGTTTCCACATTAAATTCATTGATAGATGGTAGGGCCTTTTACTTTGACTCTCTGCACACATCACCATTCTCCCAAAGGATGGCAAGGATCCAGAACAATGCGCTAGCTCAGGCCTATTCCATTGCTGAATGTGAACTTTAGAAAAATCTTCTTTCTGGTAATGGTCAAAACCCTGAGAATGTTTAATATCCTACCATTAGCTCCAAGAGATGGTCAATCCTTGCTCTTCCTCTCTACGGATGCTGAATTGAGTGGACTGGTCCTTCATGATGGACATGTATCAATGTATGGGATTCGGGGTATGGATGAGACAGTGGGTAGGTTCATTGTACACCACCTCCAATGTGCGAGTCTGAAACAGCTCTCTATCAGATCAGGAACAGCTAACTCAAATATTTATTTCACTGACAAACTGGATCCCTCTTGACGTTGATTTGAAGAAATGCAGACATCAGGGGTGTCAAACAGAGTCCTGATAAGCATGAAGTGGCTGCATATGCAGACAACATGCCTTTTATATCATCAAACAACCCTGTATCTTCTTTCCCAGTTTGATTACTGAGTGCAATACTTATGCCTCTCTTTCAAATTTTAAACTGAACTCTGAAGAGCGATGTTTTAAATGTCACATTTCCTAAACTTGAAAATGAAGGATTAGCTACTTGATAATTTGAGAATTTGAGTGACCACAGATTTTTCCAAACTCTACCAGAGGAATCCTAAGCCACTTTTGTATGCTATGCAGATAGTTTTTTTTTAACAAGTTGAACTATCCACATATATATTGGTTTGGACAAATAAATGTTCTTAAAAGTAACATTCTCCCACATTTACTTTATATTTCTCAAACAATACGCATTAAACTCCCACATGCCTTTTTCTCCTCCGTTCCGAGTGTACTATAGCATATGTTTGGAGGTTTGGAGGTGCACTCGACCCAGTTTGAACCACAAAATTCTCTGTTTCCGTAAATTCGGTGAGGTCTTGTGCTCCCCAATTTTTTACACTATTACCATGCTGTGTGTCTGCTAAGGACGTATGAATGGCATGAGGGGACTACTTCTAAATTATGGCTAAAACTAGAAAGACTTGCTCGTGCTGTCACACTCCGGGCAGTTGCCTTGTCTTGAATCAACTCCATTCCCAAACAAGTTCATCCTTAAAGCCTGACTGCAGTGACATTACAAATATGGTTCCGACTCTAGAAGCATACTCAAATAGCACCTATGCATAGTCCTTTGATTCCCATCACTAATAACTGAGATTACTTTCTTTCCTGGGCCCCGAGACAGTGATCCTGTTCTGGATGGTGTTGACTGGCTCTGGGTTGAGGAGACTGGAGAACTTACAGCCCCCAGATTTCTTACCCCTTTGGAGAGATTGCCTTTTGCCCAGATCCAACACTATTTTAATTCTTTGCCAAACAAATCTGAAAGTAATAGAAATTCTGAGGGTTTTAATTAAAGTGCATTTCAAACTTAAGGCCAGAGTACATGCACTGAATGCATAGCTGAAATACCCCCCCCCCCAAAAAAAATGGTCAGAAATATACTAGACAGTTACTCTTCTTTACAATAAAATCTATAGAAATGATAATAGAAAGACATATAGTGCAGAGCATCTTACTTGAATAAATATAAATATTGTGTAAAAACATGTGTCTGGGAGTCCCAGAGCTTGCAGGGTCTCCAGGTACACAGTATGTTAATCTTGAGACCAGAGAGAGCAGAATCCCAATGGCGCAATATTTATTTATTTATTTAGAAAATATTTGACCAGGAACGATACATTGAGATTTCTCTCGTTTTCAAGTATGTCCTGGGATTATTCAATATGCACCTCTCTCCGGCTCTGGTGCATATCGGACGCTGTGTGGAGGGTCGGAGATCACATTAAATCACTGCTCCCTGGGTAACATAGAAACATAGAAACATAGAAACATAGAATGTGACGGCAGATAAGAACCATTCGGCCCATCTAGTCTGCCCAATTTTCTAAAAACTTTCATTAGTCCCTAGCCTTATCTTATAGTTAGGATAGCCTTATGCCTATCCATGCATGCTTAAACTCCTTTACTGTGTTAACCTCTACCACTTCAGCTGGAAGGCTATTCCATGCATCCACTACCCTCTCAGTAAAGTAATACTTCCTGATATTATATTTAAACCTTTGTCCCTCTAATTTAAGACTATATCCTCTTGTTGTGGTAGTTTTTCTTCTTTTAAATATAGTCTCCTCCTTTACTGTGTTGATTCCTTTTATATATTTAAATGTTTCTATCATATCCCCCCGTCTCGTCTTTCCTCCAAGCTATACATGTTAAGATCCTTTAACCTTTCCTGGTAAGTTTTATCCCGCAATCCATGAACCAGTTCAGTAGCCCTTCTCTGAACCCTCTCTAAGGTATCAATATCCTTCTGAAGATACGGTCTCCAGTACTGTGTACAATACTCAAGTGAGGTCTCACCAGTGTTCTGTACAATGGCATGAGCACTTCCCTCTTTCTACTGCTAATACCTCTCCCTATACAACCAAGCATTCTGCTAGCATTTCCTGCTACTCTATTACATTGTCTGCCTACCTTTAAGTCATCAGAAATAATCACCCTAAATCCCTTTCCTCAGATGTTGAGGTTAGGACTCTATCAAATATTCTGTACTCTGCCCTTGGGTTTTTTCGTCCAAGATGCATTATCTTGCACTTATCCACATTAAATGTCAGTTGCCACAATTCTGACCATTTTTCTAGTTTACCTAAATCATTTGTCATTTGGCTTATCCCTCCTGGAACATCAACCCTGTTACATATCTTAGTATCATCAGCAAAAAGACATACCTTAGGACTGACATCACATGACTGGCGCCTTAGTGATTTGGCTAGGCTGCAGGGTTGGTACTATATTTTTTTAAAGATGGTTTTATGAATGGGAGTCATAGATTCATCAGCTGACCACCCTCAGCCAATCAATGACACCTCTGATGTTGACAGAGTTTCCAGAAGTCGAGCAAGCGGAAGGACAGAGGGTCAGGGAGATCCGGTGCTGGAACACACTCTTTGTGGTTAACTGTTCAATTTCTAGGTGAGCCAGCTCTAGGAACCTCCTGGCACCAAAGCAACTTCATTTTGATGAAAGTGTTCCTTTAATTGTCTGCTTGTCTAAAGACAATAAAGGATACAAAGAAATAATTTTGTGATACCTTGTATCACTGACTATACTTATGTATCCTTTTAGAGCAATACATGCATTTGGACAGCAGATGGTAGCATGGTACCTTCATAACTAAATAGGGAGCTAATTATCAATGCGCTACAAAGATTCTGTAACAGTAAGATACCTCTGTAAGCCTTTTAGCATCTGTAATAAAAAATAGCATTTCTTATACTCCATCTAGTCTGATACAACTAATTTTGTAAATAATTACTACACATTTTGGCTAATGGTTTTTATTTTGTCTTATTTCTCACATTATTTCTTCTTCTAGTGTTTTATGAGCGTTATTTAAACTTATTTAGTTTGATTCGGGTACCCTCGCATTCAGGGGGAACCTAAACAGTCCCATCTCTATGACAACATTAAATTTACTGTCACTCTCCTGAACTCCACTGGTAAAATGTTTCCATAATCCACTGTTAAAATGTCCCAGTGATAGACTCTTCACTGCAGCCCAATCTGAAGGGACAGCAATTATGCCCCAAAATAACTTTTTTGCTGCTCATTCCGTTTAAATGATGATGATGCTTGGCTGGGATTCTACAGTTTGGCCACACCTGATTCTAATCCTTTGTGCACATGTATCTTTGAAGTTTTTAAAGAAATCTCAATGTCATTGAGATTGTAAAAGGGTTGATTGAGTCTCTGGGGTATAATGAGGAGTTTTAGGATGGCCCCTGCGTAGTACCGTTAAAGGGTCAGGAACACAAGCCCCCCTGGCCCTCCCCCTAAATATAGTAAAATCTTACCTTTATTCGAGTCTGCCAATGCTGGCTCCAACCCGAACCACCTCCTTGCCTGATGCAATCAAAAGTGATGATCTCAGACAGTCACAATGCTTTCTCATAGAAAAGCATTGTATTGGCTGAGATCATCAATTCTAATGATCTCAGTCAAGGAGGGAGCAAAGGGGGCGGAGCCAAACTCCATCCTGGCCAATGGAAACAACGCATTTCTATGAGTAAAGTTCAGTGTCTCCATGCAGAGGGTGAAGATGCCGCACACTGTGCAGCACTGACCCAGGAAGCACCTCCAGTGGCCATCTGAGGAGTGACCACTAGAGGTGTTTCTAGGCAGCAATGAAAACTCTGCCTTTTCATCTATCTTGACCTTTAATTTGAAGTTCACTTTGAATTCACATTGAATTCTTACTTACTTAGTCTCCTCTCCTTAATGCTGTAGCATCGAGGGCCAGTATTCCTGGACTGGACATATTGTTAATAAGGATGTGAGCAAGTGAGGCAAACTGACATGCCAAGGTGGTAAAGAAACTAGCAGATAAGAGTTATGCGATGAATATAAACAGAAGCAAATCCAGATCCTTCTGACGGCCAAGTGAGAGATACCATTTCAGACAGCCACAGTACCACTGTTGCTGGGGCCTTTACTACACACATCCATTAAACAGTGCCCTCACAATAGCCCTTTAATCACACACCCTTTCCTACACACATACAAAACAACATATGGAATGGTTTAATACCTTGCACTTCATCAGGTGTACAAATTTGTAAATACAACTCAAAGCACAATTTATATACAAATTGATTTTTATTATAGCATTTCTCATATGATTTTTATTACATAGAAATATACAGAGTAAAATGGGTTTTGCAGTCCAGGGAAATAGATTGGGCTTGTTACTGCTGTTTCTGTGTATTTATCATGGCTTATGGATATCAGCAAACCAACCCTTCTATCCCCGGGTTCTATTTGACAAATAAATTCATTTAAAGATGCAGATTTACTACAGGGAACTAATAATTCTCATCGAATATATTCATTATCTAGCAAATAAAATATATCATGCTACATATTATCACACTTTGTGAATCTATCCTTTAGTACGAGCTATGTATTGGAATGGACGGTTAAGGCTTATCCCTGTTGAGTGAATCTGGGCCCATATCTGTTGTTTGATTTAAGTTCTTATGTGTACACTGAATCCAGAGAGCAGATATATTGTAACACAACATTGTCTTAACTGAGTCTGAACGAGTTATTTTTAAAAAGGAAATCAACATTGTCCCACAGTTGCCATGTATACATTTTCATAGGTATATCTTACTGCTATTTAATACTTAGATTTTGAATATATGAAACTTTATTGAAGAGAATACATGAGAAGCAGAAGTGTGAAGTAGACTTCATTAGACGTCGAACATCAGGACTACAGTTAGAAAGATGAATGATTATATGCAGTTCTTTACACTAAATTCTAAATTTAAGAAATTAAATAAACACTAGAGCATCTGCTTTTTTTTTTCTTTAAACATGATATCTTATTTTTCTGAAAAGTGCCAGGACAAAGGTTCTCTGGTCCTAGAAGTCACCTGTTCATTATTTGGAGTATAGTGAATAAAACACAACATTAAAAAAGCAAGTGCAGGGTTTATTTACATTCTGATATTGACAATGGATCAGAGCAGAGCCACATATAACCACACCTGCCGAAGTTATTAACTCTTTAAAATGAGCCACTTGGACATTTGGTAACAGGGAGAATATTAAAATGTGTCTAAACATTGTGTTAGCATTATTTAAAAAAAAATAATCAGTAAGTCTTAAAGGAATACTATAGAGTCAAGAATACAAACATGTATTTCTTACACTATAGGGCATGTGTGGCTGTTTAGGTCACCAGCCCAACTTAAATCGCTCTTAAAAAGGTGATTTTGCTCATCTTTTCTCCAATGTTGCTACTGATCTTGCCACGGCTAGTCCCGCCTTGCTCAGCCTTCATGGCTGAGATCATCAAATTTGATGATCTCAGCCAATCCAATACTTTCCATCGGAAAACATTAGGAGTCTGTTATGCATGCGCAGTAAAAAAAAAAACACACTGTGCCAATCAGCATCTCCTTATGGAGATGCATTAACTCTCTATGCAGAACGTGGAGATGCTGAACATCAGTGATGCACACTAGGAAGCACCTCTAGTAGCAATCTTAGTGACTGTACCTATAGGTGTTCCTAGGCCGCAATGTGTAAACTGCCATTTCTCCGAAAAGGCAGCATTTACATTGAAAAGCCTACAGGGACAGGCAATAGACACCAGAACCACTACATTAAGCTGTAGTTGTTCTTGTGACTATTGTTTCCCTTTAAGATGTTTTTAGTAATATACTTTAGCCAAGTGTTTAAGTGTTTCCCAACCCAGTCCTCAAGGCACACCTACCAGTCCAGGATTTAGGGATTACCCAGTTGTGTCTAAGGTGTTTTTACAAAGAAGAAAAAAAACACCTTAGACACAACTGGGTAATCCCTAAATCCTGGACTGGTAGGTGTGCCTTGAGGACTGGGTTGGGAAACACTGCTTTAGCCAACCTACTACAAAATGTCTTTTAAAATCTCACCTAAACTAGGCAGGGGGTTGCAACGTAACGTTCAAAATAACTTTCAAAAATGTTAAAAGATGCATAGGTTATCATACAAGAAGGTCCCCCATCACTGTGTCCCTGCACAGTGTCTAAAAGCTGCTTATGACTGAATTATAATTGCAATAACAGCTTCTGCTCTCGGCCCAATCCTTTACTGAGAGAGAGAGAGAGAGAGAGAGAGAGGTCAAAGGAGAAAGCTTCTGCTTTGTACTTGTACGGCCTGGGCTCACAGGGTTGGCTTGTGCTATTATTATTATTATTTATGTAGCGCCAACAAATTCCGCAGTGCTGTACAATGCTATGTACAATGCTACACAAGGCCCCACCGCATTGACAGCATCTTTCACAGCTTATATGTTTGTGTCTACAGCTCCTTTGAGAAAATTTTGCAGCTGCTAACAGGCAACAATCCCATGCGTCCCGTCTGATAATGTAACATGATTCAATACTTCTGAATGCTGAACTGCATATTCAAGGGTAGCAATGTGTATGATAAGAATGGTTGGGGCACTGGGAATTTACATCGAACACAAGGAATTCATTTATAAATAACCCACTCATTTAAATATATTATGGGTGCCCACTCCAGCCTTTAGTTGTTTGTTGTTTATTTTTTTTTGTACATTTTTCTCAGTTGTCTCAAACAGCTAGTAAGGTCTCGTGAGCATAAAATAATTGTGTGCGGTTCTCCATATCATCAGTATACCAACAGGACTAACTGCCCTTTAGTATGCAATTGAGAGATATCTAATTGAGTGATAACTAATAAATAATCAAGACTGATCTTTTGGAGATCTGATAACTCGATAATGAATAAACTGATTTTTTTCCCCTGCAGTATAAGGATACTACATGCTACAAGGTTGTACTTCTCATTTGTTGCCCATCTTCATGTACAAGGGATACGTGCCAAGGAAAACATACAGCAGCCATATGTATAAAAAATGCATCATAAATTTCCCCTTTCCTTTCTTTCCTTTTCTGTTAACCCGTCAAGCAGTACCATGATTTCTAAGCTACCAGTAACACTAATATTTACTCAGTAACTGCTTTAATTATTATTGTATTAATTGACTGTTTTGATCGTACAAAAGGTAAATCAGTATTGATGTTCTTTTTAGATTACCAGTGCAAATTAATTTAAAATGCATTTTTGTGTTCTTTGCAGGAATGAAATAGTTCCATTTAGGCATGATTTCTATACATCATCTCTGGTCACTATGGACCAAACGCAATGCAGTATGTGTTATTTTTTTGCATCTGGCCAAGTGAAGTTTGTGACATGAAAGCAGGCTTTCAGACAGGTATTGCATACAGTACATTCTATGTCAGAGTTCTGACCGTAATTTTAAGTTCTTGAACATACAGTTTCTGAGGTTTCTCCTATTCTGCCTAATTTATTTACAAAATGTAAACTATGCAAGTTCCCCTTAAATACATATGTATAAGTAACTAGACAGTTATTACAGTCGTTGCGTATGAGGTATGATGACCCTAGTGTTCAGCAAGACTTCCGCCAGATGAATGGCGTAGCTCTGTTCTTGCAGTGTTGAGCTTTAAAGGGAGTGAGTTTCCATGTACTCCTTCAGTCTAGTGGGATAGTCCGTCATTATACCAGTGGCACCCAAATCAAAAGCCCTTTTATATTCCTCTTCATTGTTTAGCACCCAAATGTACACCTGCAGAGAGAAAAATTATACAAGGACAAGCGAAAATCAGTAAACATAGTAACCATACAACTTCTGGGTACATACCTGCGTAATCTATCTGTTACTCAGAACCTATTTAACCCTTCTGGCTTCCACTAAATTAGTTTATTTTATGGAAGCTTTCTATTAGATTCCAACTGGATGTTTGTATGTAGAATTAATAAATCAATATATAATATTCAGAAACCTAAAAAATGAAGACTATAGAATTGGTCACATACTCTATGCTATAGTTTGACGTCACAAAAAAGAAATCTTGTAGCAATTTCAATTCTTCGATGCAGATGTCCTGATCTGAACTCTTTTTTTTTAGCACAGTTCAAATCAGGAGGCGTATTCGGAGCTTAATAAATTAGTGTCTCTAATACTGGGATAACTCTGTTAAGAGCAGGTTTCACTATGAAAAAGTGGAGTAGTAATATTTAATATTTTATTCTGTGCCTGAAACATTATTTACCTGAATTCCTCTTGCTTTTAGGTGATCAAACAAACCTTTTCTCATGATTAATCTGAAACAGAAAAGAAAAACATGAGATAACATGCAATTGACACATTTTTTTTTTTTTTTTAATTCTTTATTTTCTGTGCATTGAGAAATGTAACAAAGCATAACATACTTGTGCTGCCTTTTCAACATAGGCAGATTAGTAAATAACAATTGTTTTGCCAAGGGCCTGGATTAGTCTATACGTTTTACAATTATAACATATCAGGAGCATAGGATTGGCAGCAAGTATATAGTGTGTGTCTTTTTGTTCTATGGTCGGAGGCAATTGACACATTTTAATATACCATTCAAAGTGAATTTCAAATTTTAGGTTACAAAAAAGTAAATCAACAGCATATAAAATACAATTTCCTCAACAAAATTGTGTGGCCTAGACTGGCAGTGTCATAATATCTCTTATTATATATAATAACCCAGCATGCACTATTTATTTTTTTACTAAGAAACAATGAAGGAAGCTACTTACGCATCTGCAAGCCACACCACAAATTTGTGACTCCTGCTCATTTTTGAGGGATCTTTCAGCCTGCACGTAAAGGACACAAACAGAGATGGTTTCATTTACTTTCCAAGATAAAGAAAATGACAGAGTTTAATTCTCATGTTAGACACTACTCCACATGTGTATACTACCCCTTAAAAGAGCACTGCCCTAAATGTAGTGGGGAAAAAAATGAATTTTCTTTGCAGCGCCAAGACACACTCCATGCAACCTCTGGTGACGTCATCCCAAAGGCAGTCTTCTTTTTGTGCTCTTGTTAAATTCAATACTTCTCATAGAGTACAATTGGGTAAAAAAAGCGCATGTGCGGCAAGCATATACTCATCCAATGAATCCAATGCTTCTTTATAATCAGCGTTAGAGGACGCTCGACACCTGAGTCTGTTTTCGTATTGCAGCGGAAGCACCATCTAGCGGCTGTCTTCCTGAGTTGTGTTTAGCCCTGCAATCTATACTACACTGCGGTATCTACAAAACAGAAATGCTTTACATTGCAGGACTAAAACAACAGGACCACTGCACCCAGACCGCTTCATTGAGAAGGTGGTTTTGGTATTTTGCCGTATTGTGATCCTTTTCCAGGTCTATGACGCCACACTCCTAAATCAGGCTCTTGTGGAGAGTGCAAGAATATCGAGCATATCAAGGACAGTTCACATGGAATCATATATGCTGGATATGGACCTTATTTTTCTTTCTAAGGCTCCAGGCATTATCAAAATTCAAAATACTATAGTTTTATTTTATTTTGTTCTTTTTTTTAATACGGCATAACTGCAAACATCTGCACTCTGAACTGCGCTCATAAAGAAATCAGCCAGTGCCAAACAGTCCAGAACCCAACCTTCAAAACCTCCACAGAGGTTATAGGTCCTCCAATATCCACAGAGGAAACAGGACCTGTAAGTGATAGAAATCTTTATCCCATGTGACTGAATGGTAATGTTTCTGTTCAGCAGAATCTTATCATGCACTGACCAGTACTTGAGCTCCTGGTCCCTCAGTGACTTTTAATACAGCACAAACCCACTAAACGTGTCAAGAAAAATATTCCCACAAAGCGTACCTAACAATCGGGCAATGATGAACTACAGCACACCCTTGTTCTAAGAACATATAAAGTCCCAAAGCAGCCAGAGTCGTGTTGCTTACTTCATGATGATAGAGGGCATGGGAATCTCCAAGAACTGTTCCCGAATTGGTACAAAGGGTAGAAGTCCTGTATAAAATAAACCAACCAGGAGGAGAACCCGTTGAAAACAGAAGAGCAGAGGGATGTCATTGTTCTACAAGTAAAAAGACCAATAATGTATTATTATTATTACATTTTATTAATACACAGGTAGCATATTTCAGGGTAATATACCAAGTGTATGCAATAAATACTTGCTTATTTTGTACATTATATCAAATGGCAAAAACTTTAAATCCAAATAAGGCATCACTAAGAGGCTTATCGGGGTTTGAGAAAAAAAAAATTGTAAAAGGATTTTACTTTTATCATCAGTCCTATGGTTGCCTCTATGTGATATGATGTAAATGGCAAATATTTAAATATCTAAAGCATGATCTAAAATACATAATACTTTTGTAACTTTTTATGCAATTTTTAAAATATATTTTATATAAAAAAATTTAGCGTATGTATGTAAAGCAAGTGCTCAATTTCAGGGGGTCTAGTGCTCTCTTTGAAACAAAATATGTGATCTATATGTCGTAGTAAGAAAAACCTAAAGAGGAAATTAATTGTGAATTTGAAAATTATAGTATTCTCTTGAAGTAACAAGGTCCATTGAGGGCACTCTATACTCTCCTGTTCTTATAATTTCAGTGATATTAGCAGTTCTCATGTATCAACAAGCCTCTGCATTCATAATGAAAAAAGAATACCCTTTTCTGTATACAAGGAGCCAATTAATTAACATTACAACAATATGGGAGATAAGGTATTTCTAAACAAATTAAGGGAACTTGGGTGCTAACAGTTGATATGTTCTTTATATATGATTTCAGTGTTGATAGTGGAACAAAGAGATATCCAAAAGAAAATCAGCGGGGAGCTGATTTAAACATGTCTCTGCTCAATAAATAATTGCGATTTTGTTACTGGACTCTGCCTTCATGGGTTCTCTGATGTTCCTTAGGCTACATCATGAGACAAATCTCTAGTAGCATGGTTGCATCCTGCCTTATTCCCTTACATTATAGGATTTTGGGAGCTCTCAATCATTTTCCTTATAATTTAATATTTTCGGATAAGGATTTCAAATTATTTAATATTATGAAAAATATTTAATCGTTGTAATATTTAAATTATTTAAATATATTTTTATATACAATAGATTTTTGATATTTTAATATTTAAAAATAAATAATTTAAAAGTTTATCAAAAAAATAATAAATAATTTGAAAAGCTTATCCAACTATTTAAATTGAGCAAACAACAAAACTATCCAGTATCAAATTTGTACTAAATTGCCTTTTATAAGCAATATAAATATTTTTCACCCAGTTTGTTTATTTTATAATGAGATCATAGTAAAACAGCCACTTGCAGTAAATGACTTTAAAGTGGTTACCTATGGCAGAAAAAGGTGGGCTTACCTCCTTTTGGCATTTCTGCACTATCTCATAGTCTGCATTACCCCACACTGTCAGCTGCTCTCTCTTATATTCTCTTATCAATTCAGAGACCTGCAGAAACAGAAAAACAAGTCATTCAAAAATATATTTGTCCTACAGATTTCACCATTTACAGTTGGAATCCCACACAGTATCAGTATTGCTTTCACCTCAATGGCTATTTCTACACTTGATCATTGCTATCTTTAAAATTTTTGTTGTTGTTTTTTTTACAAGTGTTAATTCAGCATGAATTGAGTTGCTGACATGACTCTATATATTTACCCTTAGCAAATCTATTTTACCACTTTCGAAGTGTGAACGCGGAAGATTACGACCACATGACAAACAGTAGATGTTATAACATGCGGACACTGGTATATTCTGAATCATGCACATGTAACATCAGGTGTAATTATGTTGGAATGCACAAGAAAGGACATCACACTGCATACCGGAAACAGTTGGAGATACCAAGAGGAATGCCGGAATAAGGGCGCCAACATCAATTTTCCAGACCGTACATTTATAAGGGAGGAGGCTCAATGGAGCCAGTATGCACCATGAAGAAGACTTTCATACTCGAAAACACGTTGTGTTATTGCTAAACTTTTAATTTTAGGTTTTTGTGGTTTATGATTGTGTTTATTTGTCTTTTAACCTTCTTATTAAAGTTGAATTGCTCCCAGGGGTGCTCTGTCTGTGTGTGTGAGGGGTGCTGTGTGTGTGTGCGTGAGGGGTGCTCTGTCTGTGTGTGAGGGGTGCGGCTTTTGTGTGTGAGGGGTGGTGTGTGTCTGAGGGGTGCTCAGTCTGAGGGGTGCTCTGTCTAAAGAGGTGCTGTGTGTGTGTGAAGGGTACTGTTTGTGTGTACGTGTGTGTGTGGGCTGCTCTGTGTGTGTGAAGGGTGCTCTGTATGTGTGTTAGGAGTGAAGTTTGTGAGGGGTGCTCTGTATGTGTGAGGGGTGCTGTCTGTGTGAGGGGTGCTCTGTATGTGTGTAGGAGTGCTGTTTGTGAGGGGTGCTCTCGCTGTTTGTGTGGGGTTCTCTGTGTGTGTATGTGTGTAAGGGTGCTCTGCGTGCGTTAGGGGTGCTGTGTTTGGAAGGGTGCTCTGTCTGTGTGTGGGGGGCTCTCTGTGTGTGTGACAGGGGTGCTGTATTCGTGAGGGGTGTTCTGTGTATGAGGGGTGCAGTGTTTGTGTGTGAGGGGTGCTGTGTGTGTGAGGGGTGTTGTCTGTATGAGGGATGCCGTGTGTGTGAGGGGTGCTCTGTCTGGGTGTGAGGGCTGCTATGTTTGTCTGTGAGGGGTGCGATGTTTGTGAGTGATGCTGTATTTGTGAGGGGTGCTTTGTGTGTGTGTGAGGGGTGCGGTGTTTGTGTGTGAGGGTTGGTGTGTGTCTGAGGGGTGCTCTGTCTAAAGGGATGCTGTGTGTGTGTGAAGGGTGCTGTGTTTGAGGGGTGGTGTGTGTGTGTGAGGGGTGCTGTTCGTGTGAGGGTTGCTCTGTGTTTGTGTGTGAGTGAGGGGTGCTCTGTGTGGGTGAAGGGTAGTGTGTGTCTGTGTGGGCCTACATATGGGGGGGTCAGTAGGCCCACAAACAGACACACACTACCCTTCACACTCACTGCACCCCTCACAAACACACAGAGCACCCCTCACTCACACACACACACATATACACACACACACAGCACCCTTCACAAACACACAGAGCACCCTTCACTCACAAACACAGTACCCTTCACAAACACACAGAGCACCCTTCACACACACACACACACACACACACACACACACAGACACACAGGCACACACAGTACCCTTCACAAACACATTGCACCCCTTTAGAAAGAGCACCCCTCAGACACACACCACCCCTCACACACAAACACTGCAGAGCATGAGTAAAAAACACATTTTTAAAAATTATTATTTAAAAAAAACCATAAATAACCTGAGTCTGTGTGATTAGTCTTTTATTATTACTATGTTTTCTAACATTCATGAAGCTGAGAGTGTTAATCATGGCAGAGAGCCATTGGAGTTGTAGATCCCATTAATAAACAGTTACAACTACACAAAATGTTCTGGTGACTGTAGGGGATCAATGTATAAGTTGGGAATAAATAAATGATTGCCTGGTAGCAGTAGGGTTCATTGACAGTTCATTGACATATACAGTGATGTTACTGATAGTAGTGCCTCCTATCACTCTGTCAGCCAGACCAGTACATTACAGTAGATGATTCACTGTCTCACTTCCCTGTCTTCTGCCGAACTCCACATGTGGCAACTCATACATTGTGCCGATGTGAGGTCACGACGTGGCAGTTTAGTGGCTTCCGACAAGAGTTTCCAGATGCAGAAGACAGCGTGTGGGGACTGGCAGAGGTGAGAAGAAATAAATGCAAAGTGGAGACAATTGGCCAGGCATCGTCCTTGAAGTTACAACCACTGAGAGTCTCATAACAATGCTGTATTTTCAAAAGAAAATTGCAAGCACCATAACCACTACAGCACGCTGCTGTGATCATGGTTTCAGAAGTGCCCTGGCACCCTTCAACTGTCTTTAAATAAGATAGCTCAAGCAGAATTTGCAGATCTTGACAAAAGCCTACTGTGTTGCTAAAATGTGGTCATGCTGGTGTTGTGTAAGTTTAAAAAAAAGGAAAGCTCGGATTTAAGAAGTGGTGGACCATTATTTTATCTTATGAAACCCATTTAAGAATACCCACACCCAGAAAGCTGAATACCTTTTTAACAAGAATGTTGCTATTAACTTTGATGTCTATGTTGATTGGTGTCTCTGGAAAAGATTCAAACACCTCTTTCAGCAACGGGATACGTCTGTCTTCTCCTCCTTCACAGCAGCAGTCTAGAAAAAATGTACACCAGTTAGACACATGTTGATATTTGGCCTCGAAGACTGATCTCTGACCGTCAGTTACTGTTTACAGCTAAGTAGGCTAAAGAAACCATACTTATAGATATTAAACGTAGGATGTGCTGAACACAAATGCATTTTCAAAATGTAATTTTAAAAAACAAGCACTGAAGTAGCTAATTTAATCCTCTGAAAGAAACACAGAAAAAAATCCAGGTCTATTAACCAAAACCCAGATGATCGAACATTTGATGGAGACATTCCCATGATGGGCACTATCCTACTTAACAATCTATTAAACATTGTGTGTTATTAGTTTGTTCTCAGCCCCAAAGGTCCCATTGTTCTACTGAAAAAAATAATAACCAACACTTAATGACATTCACTGATGACAGCTTAATAAATAATCAGCCACAAACCAAAGTCTTTAATAAATTACATAAAGCTATTAAGGCTGGTATCCAATTAAGCATAGGGCAACTTTTGTAACAGCATAGCTAGTATAACCTGCTGGGTTACATAACAAGCAAAACTGTAAACAACTGTATAAATCTTCACTATTGCATATGGTCTATTTCATAGCTTTCTACGAGACATCCTGTGAGACATCATGTGCTCTGTCTGTGTGTGAGGGCTGCGATGTTTGTGACTGTTGCTCTGTATGTGTATGAGGGGTGCTGTATTTGTGAGGGGTGCTTTGTGTGTGAGGGCTGGTGTGTGTCTGAGGGGTGCTCTGTCTAAAGGGATGCTGTGTGTGTGTGAAGGGAGCTGTGTGTGAGGGGTGCTCTGTGTTTGTGAAGGGTGTTGTGTGTGTCTGTGTGTGTGTGTGAGTGAGGGGTGCTCTGTGTGTTTATGAGGGGTGCAGTGTGTGCGTGAAGGGTAGTGTGTGTCTGTGTGGGCCTACATATAGGGTGGGGCGTCAGTAGGCCCACAAACAGACACACACTACCTATCACTCACACAGTGCACCCCTCACAAACACACAGAGCACCCCTCACTCACACAAACACACATTCTATAGCCACATATATACACAGCCATGAATAAATTAAAGGGACACTATAGACACAAAGACCACTTCAGCTCATTGAAGTGGTGTGGGTGCAGTGTCCCTATCTCCCTTAGTCAGTTTTTGAGAAAGTGCAACATTAACATTGCAGCACTAAGAAAGCCTCTAGTGGCTATCTACCAGTTTGCAGTTTGCAGTTTGCAATGGATTGTTAAAGGAACACTATAGTGTCAGGAATACAAACATATATTCCTGACACTAGTGTTTAACTAACTATTTAGATTGTCCGTCCCACCTCAGATGGCATGGGAAAGGTGATGCTTGGAGAGTTCCTTTAACACTAGATAATATCTAAAACAATAGCTTGCATTATTATATATGCATCATATACCCAGAACTGAACACTAAGAATGCAATAAATCACTAATGTGCAAAACAAGTGGTTTCATGATTTGCCCTTTTCCATTTCTGGCAAGCAATGTAAAAGTATGTTGTCCTTGGGAGCCTTTGTCAACATGAACCCTGTATTTAAGATAAATAAATACAAAACTCTTCAAAACACAAGACTATTTACCTTTTTCAAATGTGACATCCAGCTGGCAAAGATATGAAGGGAGATTCTGCCAAGACAAACAAATTAAAAGATAAAACTTTCAATATAATAATAATAATATATCTGTAGAAATACAAAATGAAGAGAATAAAACATTTAATAAAATAATTCATATAATACAGAATAATAAAGTGAACTCAGTCATAGCTCCCCAGGATTCTACAGGGTCCCCTAGTATGAACTCAATGTCATATAGTAGCTGATTATCTATTTTCTGATGTAAGAATAGTAGGTTCTTCAGAATCGTAACTCTGAACTGCCGATTGCGATAACAGGCACTGGGAATTCAAAGAACAGCGCAAATTGGTCAACACATATTGCCAGGAAACAAAGTGTATGACACCACTTAGCCATTTGGCTTTGAAAGGGGTGAAGGCAGAATGGGGCCTGGCCTCCATGCCGACTGGAAGCATGTCGGTGGAGCTCCGGTTTGATTAAGCTAGAAAAGCCGATTTTAGGGGTATAAGCATGTACCTCGGCACCTAAAAGCTAACATCCCCTCTTACTACAACTGCTGGTGCTGATGCAAACTCAAAACCTGAGGATCCTGAAGCTCTGGTGCGGCAACTGAGGCATGCAGCCTATTCAAACGAGGGGTGAGGTGGACAGCCACTGCCTTACCCTCTCGCAGACTCCGCCGCATTGGTTCCTCGATGGTACGCCAGCATCCCGACCCCAATATGGCAGCATGCCAACCCCAATAATTCAGCATCCCCACCCAGATAATATCTCCACCACTGATGATGCAGCTGGGCCTGCACACCACCCAGCTAACTCGGCTACAGGATGACCGAATATTCGCCCAGCTTACATCACCTGATAACCTGCACAGGCGAGCAGAGTGCATACGACCACCTGCAACACAATCTCCGGAACCACTGCCAGTCCCCTGCAGACTCTTTCCTGGGCCTCGAGCATGGCGGAGAAGCTCTCCACATCAAAGCCCAACAACCAAGCACCAACCTGGGACCCCGATGCTGGTTCACAGAAGAGACAGATCCATTGGCCAGATAGGCTTGTACAGCGACCTAGGGCTGGTGGAGTGGAGGGTGCCGGACTTATGCAGAACTCTAAGCTCACTGTTTTTCAACAGGCCTGGGGTTGGAGAAGGAGGTGGAGCCATAGGGGAGGGATGGATCGTAGATACATGCTCACCTACTTCTCCTTACCATGTAGTTTACCCTGTATTATAAATGGACCCCAGTAGCTTCCTAAGCGTTGTGTTTCTTCTCCTTTCTCTCCTAGCTCCCTACATGCTTATATGTTATACTTACTTATTGATTCCCATACTGCTAACATGCATGCGTAAGGGGAACCTAAATCTTTACATAAGCGTTTAAATTTGCAGCCAGCCGCTGCAATTCAGGTTCATCCTGATTACTTCATTTAAAAAAATGTGCAGTGCTCTCCATGCCATAATGATGTTCTCCTGTGTATATCGTTACGTTTGCTTCAGCTGTTATGGCAAAGCAAACCTGCTTGTTAATCATACGCACAAATAAAATAAAGAATAAAAAAAAAGGGGGGGGGGAGTGAAGGCTAATTGCCGGGTTAGTGAAGTGTAATGCTTTTCTTTGCTTTTTAAATCCTTTTCACTTTTCCTTGATTAATGATAAGTGCAAACAATAAAATAATTGCACGCCTGCTCAGATACAAAAAGGTGACCGTGCATGGGAGCAGACGTGTAGTGCCTGTGCTCCGTGCCCTCGGCCTAATAATTAGCTGAAAATCGCTGGAACCGGCCTTACCATGGTCCGGACGAAGAAGCTCTTATCGCAGGGGACACCCTCCACTGGTTCGCCCCGTAAATACAGTGGCACGATGGACGACTATGTGTCCACGCCGGCAGATCTGCGGGGAGCCGGGTCTGCTGCCAATATGGCGCCGGCCTCCCCTGGCGCCGAAAGCGCGGGAATCTCGTCGGAGGATGGTGACCAGGGCGGTGCGCTGCATCTGATCCGGCAGGAACTTACCCGGATTTCGGCAAATATGCTCACGAAGGCGGACTCCAGTGGCATGCTCCAGGAATTCCGGGCGGCGGTACGAGAGGAGATTACCACACTGCGCACGGACCTGTCTGCTGTGGAGGTGAGAGTGGACGCCTTAGAGACGGAGACGCAAGCAAGCCGTTCCCAGCATAGGGCAGCCGAGATAGCAGCCACCAGGCAAGGGAACCTCCTCCTGACACTGCGGCGACAGGTTGAGGACTTGGAGAACCGCAGCCGCCGCCAGAACATTAGGATCCGCGGCTTACCGGAGCCGGATACTTCACCGCTACCGGACACGGCCCGGGCTCTATTTAAGCACATCCTGGGGCATAACTGCCCTGAAGAGATCCAGTTCGATCGGATTCACAGGGCCCTGGGTCCCCCAAGACAAGATGGGAAGCCCAGGGATGTTCTCTGCTGCCTGCACGCATATAGCCTCAAGGAGGCACTGATGTCCGCCACTAGAGGCATGGACAAGATCATGTTCCAGGGCTTGGAGGTGGCGCTGTTCCAGGACCTCTCCGGCCTGACCCTGGACGCCCGTCGGGTGCTGCGGCCCATCACTGCTGCCCTCAGAGAGAAGCATGTGCCCTACTGCTGGGGATTCCCCTTTAGCCTGCAGATTAAGCATGGTAACACTTGGCTTCATATTAGATGGCCGGATGACGTCGCCCCGACGCTGAGGACACTCCGCTTTCCCCACATCCGCATCCGCAACTGGCTATTGGAAACACTGTTGGCGCCCAGCGGGAGACAGGGGTCCCGGAGTCCACAGCCGGATCAACAGCAGGAGAGGGAGCCTCCCGCGAGGATGATGGGCGGCCCGGCAGGTGCTGAGGAGTGAGGACTGGACTCTATGGAGGTACTGGGGATGGGCATCGTGGTTGGCCATACTGGGTATTAGCATCTAGGTTGGGTGGTGGTTGGGACCTCCGCGATGGGCCTCCCTCGTCC